GAGTGAGGACAAATGAGGGTTAGCCACAAATAAATCCCTTGTATTAAGCATCCCTAAAGGAATGTAAGATTTTCAAAAATTAAATAAAACAAGTATGTTACTCTTTAACACGGTTAGAAAAAGAAAAATCATGATGTAGCCTCATCTGTCAGGATCTGGATAATCAAATAGCCTCCATCTGTGTGTGGAGTTTTTATCAAAACAGCAAATAATACTAGTGTGAAGAAGATTTATTACACATCTAAAAGAGGCTATGGTGACCCATGCTGACCTAAATGACACATTTTAATCAGTATCTCATACATTTACATGTCTCGTCGCGCTACGAGACATCAGTGTGTTTTTAACCATGTTAATACTCCGAATCCCTTTTTTCACTGTACTTCCACTTTTTCTCAATCACACAAACCCCGTTTATTAAACGCGATAGTGACCATTTGTTATCTATCAAATCCTATTTTTTTATATAATAAGGGGCTACTCCATTTTATGTTACACTAAAAACATGAGCAAGCTAAACATTACAGAAACTGATGTCTAGCTTAGATGGCAAACATTGATCATATTAAACGTAAACAAGCAAATAACGGGTAGCTTATGGCAAAAATATACTTACCAAGCTGAACATCCAAGGGACCTAAAGATAAAAAATATTTTTCTTCCAAGTATATCGTAAAAATATCAGGAAATTATTAAAACAGCTAAGTAACACGCAATCATTTATGACGCCTTCAGAACAGACATCTCTTTTTAACCGCTACCAGATAAACAAGCTTACGACGGATCCTATATTTTTATAAATTATGGGCTTATAAATGTAATTTACTAAGTGCCACCTACTTTTTAAAGAACGGCGTGGGTGTACTAATGAAATAAACAAACCACTACATAAAGGAGGGCCATTTCTTTTGTTTCAGACGCCGATTATCAACTGATGCTAATGCGCAAAGCTAAATGGGTCACTCGGAAATGAAAAAAACAAACAATCTTCTTCCGCTGTTTTATACAGCGCAGACATGAACTACCGCCACCTGCTGGTAGATTTAGTTAAACTTCAATTTCAGATACTATTTTTTATTTTTTTTTGCCTGTCTTAACCTTCTGTCTGCACCCTGTGTCCTAGAGGCCCTTTAAAAAAATGATAAAGAATCAACTAGTGCTTTTAAGGTGTATCATTTATATTTATATATTTAAATCTGGTTACTTTTGTACATAAATGCCCTAATGTTCTTTTTTCTTTGCATATTCTTCTTCATTTTTTCAATTTCCTATTCCTACTTTGTATGCTACTAAAGCCTGTTGTGAACAGTGAATTTCCCCATTATAAGACTAATTAAGTCAATTAATCAATTCAACAACTTTTTTTTTGTTTGTTTTTTGTTTTTTTAATTGAAAATACTGTGATTTTTTTAAGCATTACATTGAAAACAATATGCAGCACAATTTTCCATAAATATCAGCATTGCATATGAAATTATTTTTTTGTCTATTTATTATTATTGTATCCTAAAACTTTAGAAATAATTATTGTTTAAAAGTTTTTCTGTTAGCATTTATCAGAAATTTTGTTTCATTTTCCAGAAACCCTGAACTGGCCTGTTTGCAGCTCCAAAGGAAATTTGTTTTACTGGACTGGCTTGTTGGGTTGTAAAGACTGCAGATCCCTGATCTAAAAGCAGGTGGGAAATAACTAAACCAAATTTATTCTTCATTTTACTCTGAAAGTGCTCTACTGGAAATTAAGTGTTAGAATGAAGCTTTGCTTTCCAAAGATGGTTGAAAAGAGAAACTGTGAGACTAGAGGGACTATTCTTCAAAAGATTGATTTTCATTGTTCACAAAAAAATATAACACTGAAATTATATTTATCCTTTAATTTTATGCTATAAAATAAACAAATCATTTTACTGGTGTAAAAATGTGACACCACAAAGACCCAATTATATTGACTTACTAAAAAAAGGGAAAAACTAAAACTCAGAAATGGACAGGACTAATATTTTATTCTTGCCACCACTTAGGATGATAACAGGAATGAAAGAAAAACTCCAAAAATAAACTGTCAAAAAATCTATAGTAATTTTAGTCTGAGGAGCATCTTAGAGTTCCTATTGCTCCAAAAACAAAAATCATATATCTATAAGCCAAATAGGTGTTTGAGACAGAGGAATCTCATGCAAAAGACATTGGGAGAAATTACAGTAATTTAGCTTTGCCAGCAAGCATTAGCCCAGAGGAGTATATGGTATTAAACACAAGTTGAATATCTAGAAAACCCTTCATTACCACTATTAGGTAAAGTGGAAGAGCCATAGTACTATGGGCCTGCTACTACCTTAAAGAAACTGGGAGCTTTTTCCAAGTGTATGAAATAGCATAAATACATAAATAAAAAACAAAACAAAACAAAACAAAAAAAAACATATTTTGTGGCAAAAAATTAATAATATAATTCAATAGGAAAATTATGTAAAAAAGTAGGAGTAAATATTCAAAGATGTTCACAAGAGAAGAAATAATCACAAGAGAAGAAATAATCAGACTCCAACTTTTTCAATGCTGTCAAAGTGCAAATTAATGTTGAAAAAAAAAAATAAAAATAAATAAAAATTCACTGCTGCCTTGCAGCAAGAAGGGCCTGGATTCAATTCCCAGCCCAGGGTCTTTCTGCATGGAGTTTGCTTGTTCTCCCTATGCATGCGTGGGTTCTCTCTGGATACTCTTTCTTCATCCCACAGTCCAAAAACATGACTGTTAGGTTAACTGGCTTCTCTAAATTATCCTTAAGTGGGAGTGTGTGTACATGGTTGTGTGTCTGCATGTTGCCCTGGGACAGACTGGCGACCTGTCCAGGGTGTACACTGCCTATATAATAAATAATGCATTTTAAAAAATGCTAGATTATACTACAACCAGAAAAAGTTGATTTAATTGCATTTTCACAGTAATCAGAGCAAAGATATATATAAAATGAACCAATAAATAATTTTAATAATTCCTCCCCAGGTTAACTTTAGTTATTTAGTTATCTCTTGACTTTATTTCTGTGTGTCCATGTGAATTAAGTGTCACAGTTGTTTAGGAAATAAAAACACACCGGACCACTCATTACACCATTCAACAAATACTTTATTTCCAATTCTGCAAATGATTCACTGTTTTTAAAAGAGTGTATTTATATATGAAGCAAAGAAAAGATGATCGTAGAAGATTTGATTCAACAAAGCAACAGTCTCCAGGCGTCCCTCATTTGGCCCAGTGAATACCTAATATTCACTGTTCAATCGGTTATAAATAAATACATAATGCGCATCACAGCAAACGGCAAGATTTAAAGTTTCTCATCAACGTAGTGCATACAACATCAAATTTAATAACAATGACACCTGCCAGTAACTATAATGTCAATGTAAGAGATTGAGCATAAGCAATATAATTTACAATCAGTGCATGCTCGAAGCGCTATGACATTCATGTCCTCACCTTTGCTTATACAGTATGTGGTGCAATGGTTGGCTGATGACGGCAGGAACAGTGAAGAATAAAATAAACACTGCCTTTGTAAACACTATTCCAACAATGGATGAAACACTAAGAGACATTAAATTATTTAACATTATATTTTGGCACAGAACTTTCATTATGTGTATATAATGAAAATATATAACCTCCTGCCACCAAGTGTATATATTAAGTCAGATATTTACATTCAAAGATTGTGAATTTGTTACAACCTGTGAGCAAATAAAAAAAAGGAAAAGATTGTTGTTTTTAAAAGCTTTTTCCCTTCACTGCGAAACTCTAAAACATAACGAGAGTCGCTTCAGAAAGTGAAAAACAAACATTCAGCATGTATTACAGGATCGCGAAACATAACTTTTGATTGTTTTAAATAAAGTATTGCCATGCTCTTTAACGTTTTAGCCTTTGAAAGACTTAACAGAACCGAAATTAAAGCAACCCCCCATTCCTCATTGACATTTTCTTTGCCTACAATAATTTCCATATCTTTAGAAGTCAATTTGAAATTGACCGCTTCTAATCCTTCATAAGGCACCAGTCCTAATAATACAGAAAGTTTAAATGATCACTTGGGTCTCATTTTAGGCAGATGCGACATAATCAGAAGAAAGTATTTCCTAACTGAGATGGATTAAAAAAAAAAAAAAAAAAAGAGAAAACACAAGTAGCATAGGGGGAGCTAGGCCTTTTTTATACAAAAAGAATTTGTCTTCTTCAAGAATTTCATTCTTCTTTAGTTTTATTTCTCACCCAGAAATGTTCCTCTTTAAATGGATACTTCGTACTCCCGTGTGTCCTGTAATCAAAGAAGAATAAAAAGAGAAATTAGGAACATCAAGAGACAAAGAGCTATACAGGTGTAAAGTGAAGTGATTTAATTAAATGATGGCTCCTTTACTTACTCCTGCTTCATAGAGAGGGTTGTTGAAATCCGACTCCACTGTAATGGGACTGTAGGAGTGTGTGTGTGAGAGAGACTTCCAGAAGAGAGGCTTCCATTCTAGTCTACAAATACTGCAAAAAGAAGATGAACATGTCAAGCATTTAGCAAAGACCTTAGGCTGAGCACTCAAAATCAGCACTAGAACTAGGAAAGGGCATTAAAACAAATATATATACCTTATATGTAATGGCTGCTAGAATAAATCTTTTGTTTTCAATAAAGATATCTCTAATATCGTTATGATTTTAATAGTTACAAGCATTTAGCTTAGCATTTTAGAAAGCATTTAGAAAGCATTTTAGCTTATTGCACAGAATGTACCTTTCTTCCTTTCGGTGTATGTATGGTGACATTTTGAAAATCATGTCTTACACAAGTCTAAACATGAGGAATCAAAGGTAATTATGTCAAGCATATAGCCTTGTCTTATTATGTGGAGTATAAGGGTCACTTTTGATGACATACTGTGCTGAAAAGTGTAAGTAAGTAAGTAAGTAAGTAAGTAAGTAAGTAAGGAAGGAAGGAAGGAAGGAAGGAAGGAAGGATGTTTTGGGCTGTATCAAGAAGTTTGTTGCTTTTGCCTTGATATCAGCATCTTATTTATCTATTAATTCATACTTTCCAGAGGTGTCAAGTAAC